TCCGATTCTCTTGTGATTTGATATGAGAGGGTTAATTCTTGCTGATTTTTCTTTTGCCTGCTCTTTTTTTGTTTTAACACTTTTGGTCTATACAAAATCAGCCCAAGTAGCTTGTTTCATGGCTTTAACTGGTTGGGGCTTTTTTCTGGTTTGGCTGTTGGGGTTTTTTTTGAGCGAGTTATGTACGAAAAGTGCTATTTTTCTTGTCTTTGACTATCTTTAATATGTGCTGCTTAGAACCTAAGATGCATTATGGAGCTTTTAGTTTCCTCATCTCATGAAATTAGTACCACTTAGCTCCTTTAGGAACAACCCTCCTAAGGCTCTCTAGGGAAGCATTTTTCTAGAGATATGCATCAAGCATTTAACCTTTCTAAATAAAGAAGCCTTTTCTGAATGCCTGTCTCTTCGCTGTTTGTGAGCTGAAGTCTTCTAAATGAGAAAATGGCTTTTGCATTTCAAGTATGGCACCTCTTCAAAATGATTTGGGCTTGCTACAGTTGCCCTAAGAAATGTTTTGTAACAGTGAAATGGTTTGTAACAGTGCAGAATTTTAATGTACGTGTATCTTGGAACTTGGAGTGCTAGAAATTTGTGACCTGGCAAAACAGGGAGATGATTTGAATTGGATATTATGTGGCTACATGATCTGAAAAAGAGAATAGGCTATGCCATTAATGGATATTTTCAGACTTGTTAACTATGTAGCTGCCAAATTCCTGTCTCTTTCTGCTTATTTATCTCAAGTCTTCTTGCCTGTAGCCACGGTTATGTGATAGTTCTACTTTTATGCTTCCCATTCCCTTACTGGTTTCCATCTGCTTGTTCTGCTACTGATTTAAATATCCAAGACGGGAAGCGTGCCAAGAAACAAAGCCATCAGTGTCTTAGGACTGAAAGATGGTAGGTGATACAATGCAGCTATCTCACAAGACTATTACTTGATGAAGAGCAATTCTTAGATCAAGTTAAAATTGACATGAAAAATTCAGGCTGATGTACCCCTCCTTTTCTTCAGCAGGGACAGATCCATTAAGGCTGAGAATAGATTTTTCAGAAAGGAGCTAGATAGATGCTACAACTTGGGCAGATCCCTACTTCCATGACATCTGTTGTTCCTCTCATAACTACAAAATGATGTCTTGTGTTTTTTCATTCTCTTTTTGCTTAGCGGTACCATAAGATCTTTCTGCCTTAAGAGACATTAATACTTTTGGCCCAGCATGGCAACAAAGCTTTTATTAATATAAACGAAGCACTTGATGCTGATACAGACAACCAGAGGAGATGGCAGTAGTAAGAAATAATTCTTTTCCAGTGAGAGGCTGACTGATCTTCTGCACAGAGCAAAACAAATCACCAAACCTGGCTGTTAGCTGTGCTTTGAAAATACCTGTAGCTTAAGAAGAGAAGACAGTAGAGGAGAGATGAGGTCATGAATCAGGTGACATTCACTTATTTCTGTGCAAATTGATGCTGTTCTTGTATTTTGAGGCATGAAATAAGTTAAAGTGAAAGGTCTACTCGCCAAGCCTACCTTCTGAATGGGGAGACTTCTGAACTGAAAACAGCTACTGCTTATATGTAGTGGTGCCTTCCAAGTCACTAATATTTATTTGAAATCGAGTCAATATTTTTGTGAGTTGCACTTAGACTGCTCCAAGGACTAGGACAATGCTCCTTTTAATGTCACGGTTAAGGGAATGCTTAGTTTATCAAATATATTACTGTGATTGATGGCATTCTGCTTTTTCAACTGTTTCCTTCTTTCGATAGCAACGTAGACAGCAAAGGATAACACAGAGAGTGCACACTGTTAACAATGGAGAATATCAGAGGTAAGAGATCAAATTGTATTAACGGAGAACCAAGATTGTTTTTATTGATTTTGCTCATCTCCCCTTCACCAGGAAAAATTTTTCAAATATTAGTTATGCATTATCTCTAGGTCAGCGCTGTTATAATTCATTGCTGTTTTCTTAGTGACAGCAAACTTGTTACCATTAACCTGCAAAATTAGAGGATAGATTCCATTTATTCTGATTTTCCCCTCTAGTTATAGGAGTAGAAAATTGAATCTACTTCCAGCTAAAAACACATGTATACAGACACAATCTAGTCTTTTATAATAAAAATGTGTTTATATGTAAAATCTCGGGTAATACAGAAAAAATTACTATTCAGAACTGTTTGAAATTCTAAATAAAAATACAAACTAATCAATGGAATGGTTGATCTAGTCTGATTGTTCATTACATGTTCTTCACTCCTACCTTGTGTGTTCAGTGTTGGGGCTGAACAAAACCATAAAAACTCTGAAGATAGTTACTATGGAATGAACAGTATTTGATTTTGTTGACTAAACTCTAAAATCAAACATGTAATTTTGAGTGGAAGATAAGGGAGATGGAAGGGGGTTTTCAGTTTTGGAAGAACAGTTAGGAAGGGAGCTGTGAAAATGAGGTTTTAAGGGATGAATAGCAACTAGCCAGATGTTAGCAACAGAGGACTGCAGTAGCAGGGTGTGAATCCCCTAATTTAAAAAGGAATTGAGAATTAAGAAGGCATCATCTGAAGTGACAAAGGATGAGAGGGGAAGAGTCGTTTTATGACAAGATAATTCATTTTTAACTGAGCACACTTCTAAAAAAATGAGTGGAAGCTCATACTGGGAGAGGCTGTGATGAATAGTAATAGGAAAGGCACAAACACACGTTTGTGTGTTCTCTAGCACAGAACTGGGGGACATGTGGATGGACTTATCTTTTATGGCACCCATAGAAGTTTGTCAAGCTGAAAACAATACATGTGTTTTTCTTACAGCTCCGTGGCAGAGGAAGACCTTGATTCTTTCTTAAGGAATACAAAATTCCAGTATGAAGCTTTTCGCAGTAGTAGTAAGTCATCCTTTTCTTACGTGTGTCTTCTAAATGATAAGGGATTCTGAGGAGCACCGAGTGCTCTTTTTGTCTATTGATTTATTTATTTTTTTTATAGACACACACATAAAATGTGTTTTGACATGTCTGTTAAAGTCCTCAAACTTCTTTTGATCTCTAATCCCTGAAACTTCACATGTTTGGAATCTACAGCTATTCCAGTTCTCAAAAGCAAATAAGTCCCGCATGCGGATTTACTGAGGCTTTCCAGCTATTTTTGTGGAGGCAATATCAGTGCCGTGACCTTCTCTTGTAAAAATATATTACTGGAGATGTAAATGTGTGTGCATATCTTAGTAAATAATTTATTAAATTAATGGGAATCATAGTAATGGTGCAAGAGAGGATTTGGCTATATTTAAGGATTCCACTAACGAGTTAGAGGAAAACAACTGTATCGGCTTAGATCCACAAGCTTTGCTGACAGTGTGTGACAGTCACTAAGAAGCTGGAGGACTGATGATAATTCTTGGGAAATGCTGCCTGTAATTTGGGGGGTTTTGAGAGGAGGGGTTTTTTTTTCCAGGTTTTGTGGGATTTTTTTGGTTTGTGTTGTTTTTTGTTTTGTTTTCTTGGGGTTGCTTGTTTTTTTGTTTTTTTTCTGCAAGTCTATTTCAAGTCAAGCTTACTGTTTGCTAAGTTATTCTACTGTTTTAACTAAATTATTGCTAAATGTTCTCTTGTATTACTCTAATGAGGTCTACTAATAAAAAGCTTCTGTGTAACTTCTGCAGTGATTGTTTTGTGAGCTGTTCCTGAAATTTAAAGGCTGCAAAGCACAACAAAAATTTTCAAAGGAAGCTTTACATAATGAACCTCAGATTCAAGTATTGAAAATACTTTTTTTTTCTTCCTATAGGGCTTTCATCTGATGCTACAGTGCTGACGCCCAACACAGAGAGCAGCTGTGACTTAATGACCAAAACCAAATCCACGAGTGGAAATGATGACAGCACTTCCTTAGATTTAGAGTGGGAAGATGAAGAAGGTATTTATTCTGCTGTTTAGCTTCATTCTGAACTTACAAGTTAAATATTTGACAGTTGAAACTAGGATGGTGGTAAATTTGTTGGTTTAATCACCTCCCGTTTTGAAAACTGTCAAGTGTGTAATGATGAAGTGGTAAATTATTTTTAGCTGGAAAAACCTTATTTTTATAAACATAGTTATCTAAGGAAGTAATTTCCCTGAAACCGTCAGTCAATATTTTTTTTCCCTGCATTTTGTGTAACTGAAAGCAAAACTCATGGTAAAGAACTGGTGCCCTCTGGTGCTCAGCAGCAGAAGACACAGCTTGTTCGCGGTTTTAAAATGGGAAACTTGGAAGAGTCTTGGACTGAGGTCCTCCGGGAAGCATTGCTTCTTTAAACCCTGCTGCTGCCGTTTGTTACACATCGTTTCTGGTCTCTTCAGTAAATCTGCAGAAGCTCTTGTCTTCGTTTCGTAGTTAAGCCAGTATTTAGAGACTGATGGCTCTACAAAAGCTCACAAAAAATAAGCTGCCATTTCCTTTAGCCGATGCAGAGCAGGTATTTTTGCTCTGATAGACTGGGCTTGGACAATCTGCATGTAGCTTATGTGTAGCGCTGTCAAGAGCACTAAAATGTCAAGTTCAGAAGCCTCTTTGGAAGCCTTAAGTTTCACAGATTTACCCAGAAATACCCAGTATCATTTTTTTAGCCAGTGTGTGCAAGAGCTATTAGCGTTTCAGAGGAACTGAAGCCAGGGCAGGAGCTACATAGCTTACTGGATTTTACTTTGAGTAATTGGCACCAGTGCAGAAAAGGGTCTTTGGGGGGAACTCTATTCTATGTTGTGCCTAAGGAATGGGCACATGGCTTTTTTGGCTTCTTTACAGATCCATTTGTCCTTCCACTTAGTATACTATCTTATTAAATATGGAAAAGCAGATGAAAGATTTGGGTTTTATGAGGCACATCTGCATGCAGAATTGACTTCATTTGGCTGGTTGAGGGTCTTGTTGCACATGGGCTTGTGTTAGCCTTGTTGGGTAATGTATCTCTTGGTGTAGGATTAATTATCGGTGGTGTTTGCTATTCACTGTTCTCTTACTGCTGTCGTAGTTACTCAGCTCAAAACCAGGTGAACAGGTAGTCAGATCTGACAGGGGACAAAAACTGCCTAAAACCAGGGAACACAATGACTGCGTAGCTCTGTTTGCAATGCTCAGGAGTGGAATTACCCATCTGGATCTTCCAAGGATTCTTGTTGTTTCTTCTAATGTTTTAACACAAATGTTTGAGCACTTCCCTCAAAATCAAGTCTCTCTCATAAACATTTCTTAAATTTCAGGCATGAACAGAATGATTCCAATGAGAGAACGCTCCAAAACAGAAGAAGATATACTCCGGGCAGCCCTGAAATTTAACAGCAAGAAGGCGGGCAGCAATCCTCCGTCGGCCTCCGATGACTCCAACGGGCTGGAGTGGGAGAATGACTTTGTTAGCGCCGAAATGGATGATAACGGCAATTCCGAATACGCCGGATTTGTGAACCCTGTCTTAGATGTGTCTGCGTCGGATGTAAGGATATCTGATTCGGATCATCAGGACAGATAGTGAAACTGCGCGGCCCTTGTTTATCACCAAATGTCGCGAAGGGAAACGGAACGTTCAAAACCGATTTGCTCTTTTATATAACCTAGTTCGCTTCTTTCTTAGAAACGGATCAGCGAGGACTGGGAATGACGTGCTCTCTGAAATAATTCAGACTTAAGTGCAATTTTAGCCTCTACCTTCTAAATTTTTATGAGAACTTGGATGATGCTATTGTGTATATTTCTGGATATCTGGATTTAATATATAATTATCTGCACTAATTTAAGCTTCATAGCTTGACATATCTCTATTTTAATTAGCCTTTTCTTTCTGGATGATGGTTCAACTGACTTTGGAGTTCATCATCAGCCTAACATTTATCTGAAACAGTCTTATTTATTTAATACTTGAATATAGGAAAAGAACTTAAAATTTTTATTTCCAATACGTGCTTTTTGCCGTGTTCTTTAGATATTCAGAGGGTGTATTTAGCCAGCTGCCTAACAAATGTCACGCAGGGTAAACGGCAGCTTTTCCTTGTCTAGCTTGCAGTCTTCCTAGTCTTGTCCTCTTTTTTTTTTTAAAATTACTTAATAGTAAGCATAGTTAGCCTCTAAACATAGTATAAATCATCAGGTTAGGTAAGATAATGCCTTGTATAATATGCCAGACCTAGTAAGTGTGTGCTAGAGAGAACAACAACCAAAAAAAAAATGTTTGTGTCAAACTGGAATTTTGAACCAGTATCTAGTAGAGAACTGGGAGGACCAAAGTTTCAATTTCCCTGCCCCCCTGAACAGTGAAAAACCTATAACGAAGCTGGAGTGGAACAATGATTGAAAAGCAATTGTTGTCAGAGCTAAATGGAGGAGGGATGATTGCTCTGCTGCTGGTGTCAAAATGAGCAGGAACTGCAAGACTACATTCCTGTGGCTTAAAAAGAACAAGTTGCAGAGCTGTGTGCTTAAATTTTCCGTCTTTCCTGTGCCTCTAAATTGGATGGTTAATATGAACTGAAGTTCAAGGAGGTGTTGATTTACTGCAAATCCAGTGTAATGTATTTGTGGTTTCCCTGATAGTTCAACTTCTTTAAAAAAGCTCATGGAGGAGAAGGTACAAAACACTTGTAGATCTCAAGCTTTCCCCAAAGTTTCAGTAAAGCCATTCTACTCTACTGTTATTTTGTGTAACTGTCTTGTTTTTCCCTGAAGAAAGGGGAATGGGGTGTAACTCCAGCACTGTGGAGTAAAAGCTGCAGACATGGCTGTCAAGCAGTACATGTGCATCACGAGCAGAACTGAATTGGTTGGCTCAAGCTGTGTCATTGTTTCACATCATTTGAGCTTGTACGTAATATCAGGGTCACTACAGTGTGGTCCTCTTCATGGTAACTTGAACAAAAATGCACACTGGCATTCAATATGTACAAATATCAACACTAACAGATGGGTTTTGTTGATAACATTCCTTTTCCTAACTGAAATTTTAGCTATGTTATTGAAAATATTTCTATGTCTTGATCTACATCTGCAATGCCTGCAATAAGCTTTAAAAATTTGTACACATCAAATGTCTATTTTTGGTTTGGCATAAGCTATTACTGTGTAACTTCTGAGCATTCAGTTGTATAATATGTTCCTATGGAAATGAAGGCAACTTTCTCAGCATGTAAATATCACATTTCTCTTTTTACTTATTGAAGCTTAACTTTCGCCTTCCAGTGGTCACTACTTTTTCCTGACCACTGAACATGAGGTGAAGTTCTCCTGGACCATGCTTTGAGACAGTACACGAGCTGATAGTCCTGCCTTACGGAAGCAAGAAGGGCTGAGGAGAAAGGAAGCTGACCTCACCTTACTGTGATGGGCGTGTTCTGTAACCACGGTTAACAGCGTTCCTCTTTTTCAGAGTGTAGTGCACCAAGCTGATTGAGAAATTGTGGTCAATACTGGGGGAAACTTAAGCATTTGGAAGGTTACTTCAAGAGCTGATGTCAAACAGTTCAATGGTACCCTGAAACACGTATCTGTCAGTCCTCCTTTTGGCAATGTTCCCTGCTGTGTCACACACAGTCAAAGCGGTGGGTGAAGATGAGTTGTTAGGCTACCCAAAGTTACCTCTGCACTGGTTTAACTAAGGAAGCTTTTATTCAATAATGACCTGTGTATTTAAGTACTGAATTCCATTGCATCCCTGCTTGAGACCTGTTGCTTTGGAAGGGCAGCTCGAGCAAGCTGCAACACCTGAGGACTACATTGAAACAAGTCTTTTTCAAACTAATGTTTGCTGGTCAAATCAACCTAGTGAGAGGATCCTCCTAGGAGAGGATTCATTTCTTTATGTGTACTTTGGGGTTGATTTTTATCCCAGGTAAATGTAAGTTGTAGAAATAGTGTTTGAATAGACAAATAAAATGCACCATCAGCCTGTGTTTGAGTTTCATTGCCTCTCCAGGGATGACTTGCCACTTGTGATTGTTTGCCTTAATCTTATGTGATTACATTGTGTAGTTCAGCTGTCTTCCCCTCAGCTAAAATTCTCTTTTTCTGGTCATGATTAAAGCTGAAATGCATCCTAAGGTTGAGGCATGACAAGATGGGTAACTCTTCTGTATGCTCTGTTCTCATTCTTTCCCGTGTCTTTCAAGCAGACTGGACAGAAAATGATGCCAATGAAAAGCTGAGCCCCTGGGAAGGAGAAACTGGACTGAAACAACCTGAGGAATACTTCAACGAAAACAAAATTGTAAGAGAGCTTGGGGCAGTGGGTGGATGTAGAAAACTAGCTAAAAGTGTTTTAGCTTTATTATGGAGCAATGCAACTTGTAGAAAGCCTAGAATAATGCCAGGGGAAATTTCTTCTCTGCGTTGTCCTGGAAATCATTTTATTCACTGCAAGTGCTTTTACGTTGGAGTTGTACAAGACAGCACATCCTTACTAGGCAACAAAATGCTTCCATTACAAAATATTGTGGTATTTCTACGTATTGTGATAACTGACACTGCATGTTTATTTACATTCACAAGCAAAAGTAAACTTGCCAAAATATATATTTCAAGTAATTTTAAATATCTTGCTGAATTGAAATAATAATAAAAAAACCATTAATGGCTACGTTGACAAAGTGTTTTTAAGCTGTGAAATCTGGGAATTTACAACCTAGGCTTGAAAATACTGTTTGGAAATTTCAAGTTAAATGCAAAGTATGAAGTATAACAAATGCAGACAGGCATTACGTCTTTTATGTAGCTAACAACTGCTGGGGCAGAAACACTGCTCGGCATTAATGCTTATTAAATATACCTTCAAGGCACGTGGTCACAGTTCTGGAATTGAATCGGCTGCAAGGGGTTTGAGGGGCCTGCTATTGCCATCATGTTTGTGTGGCAAAAAGCAGTGATGGGAGAGCTCACACCCCCTGGGGAGGGCCGTGGCAGGAATCTGAATCTGGTTCTGTTGCAAAAAGTATGTTCAGCCTGTGCTGAAAATCAGCCGTTAAGACTGATGTGCAGTGGTGTGAACCATCACGAACAGCGGGCTGAGATGACAGCCTTCAGTTTCCCAAGTTGTGCAGGTTTCAGCAGACCAAAATCTGATCCCGGCCTCCTTCTCCCGGCTAGCAGGACTCATTTTCATCAATCTCCATGGGGCTTTTGTTTTGGGAAGAAAACAAGGAAGAAGAAATGCCCTTCTCTGGTATAGGCTGCAGCGCTGGCAGGCATCTTTCTTGTGAGATGGGTACTTGAGCCAAGTGTAAGTGAGTCTCAAAATAATCCATGGACTCTCCTTCTTGAATCTCTGCGAAAATCTGGTAGTCTCCAAAACAAATGATGCATTTCCATGGTAGATCAATTTTGTTCAAGTAGCCCAGCTCTGTTTGGTCCACAATCAGTTTTGTTTTCTTGCTCATGTTCTTTATCTCGAAAGAAAATTCCGAGCTGTTCAATTTTCTGTAAAACTGCAATGAAAACTGAATGCGAGAAACACGAGTATCCATTAAGTTATGCTGGCAGACGTTACTGTCACGGCCAAACTTGGATGTTTCATCTGCCCTCATCTGTTGTCGCTTAGAGAAATTCAAGCAACGAAACATCATCTTGTCTTCTTGGCGAGGATGGTAAAAGGTCATGTGGAGACACGTTATCGTTTCTTCTGTTTCAGCTTCTTCAAAAGAGCTCATGATCAAGTGAGTCAGAACTATCAAGAAAGAAGTAAAATCACACCATGAAATCACTGCGATACCAAAAGAAACTGGCTTCAGTGTGGCATTAAACCACTCGAAATACTATTGTACAGTGGCTGTAGGTAATGTGTAGGAAATCGGCTGACGCCGTAACAAAACCATGGAACGAGGAAGCGGGAGTTGAGCCTGCCCAGTCCCTGACGAATTATTTCCCACTGCTTGGCCCAAGACTCACGCGGTGACCAAAGCGAAGTGCCAGCTAGCTGCGCTCCACTCTTCGCTGCGCTCGGTCTTGTATCTGGCACAATAGCCGCGCAGCACTCTGAAAAACACCCCTGACTGCAAATTGCTGCCAACTACTTCAGGTAGATTTATCTTCAGAAGAAATATGTCACTGAACAGTGAGGGTAAGCTTTAATTCCTGGACTTAAGATGAAGTATTAAGTAGTATCGTCTGGGCCTGTGTGCTTTGTTTTCCAGTGTAGTCCTTGGACTAGAAGGTATCACACAAATGACTTTTACAAATACAGTCTGACTGCAGGCAGCACTATTACAAATGTGTATAAAGCACTCTAGTCTTGTATGAAACAAAACGCCGTGTTCAGCAGCGGCTGATGCGACAGGATGTAAAACGAATGCAAAAGCTGGAATATCAGCGAGACCTCAAGTCAGAACCGTCACCACCTCTATGTATTTCTCTTTTGCCCATCAGAAAATTCCAGCTATCTGCTGCAGAATTACTTAACCAGGCCCTAAAGATAACTTTTTCAGAGTATGTTTTTTGGTGCTTTTTTTTTTTAAGCTTCTCAGCTGCAGCACAGAGATGCTTGCTTATGAA